TAGATGGTGGAGAAGGGAGAAGTTCTGCACATGCTACAAGTGCAGTGAACACTCTCCACACATGCATCGAGCAGCAGTTTTCAGCCAGCACCTTCCCCATGTCTGGACACGGGTGTGTGAAGGTGTGCTGCGGCTGTGGGTGATGGAGCACAACCCAAAGCCACCCCACACGCGAACAGGAGAGCTGGCCTCGGAGCTCAGAGGGCAGGGCTGCACGGGAAGGACTTGCCATTTGCTGAGTGCCCATGTGTGTGCTCACACTGTCATGAAAATGAGGTGAAGGAAGGTCATTCGGTTCAACAGTATAAATCAAGGAGGAAAGTGAAGGGGAGGCTGTGAGCAGTGGGGAGAAGTCACTGGTGGGGGTGGCCGGGGGAGCAGGGGAAGGGCTGATGAGGCAGGGAATGCCACACGGGGGTGAAGCAGAAAGTAACAGTGAATGAAAGCAGCCGAACAGTGGCAGCCCAAACAGAAGGCAGGAAAAGCCCAGCCTCAGGCCCTTCATCCTGTGCTGTAACCAGTGCTTCGTGCTAACCCCCAGGATCACTCCACCAGGGCAGGCAGAAGGGCTCCACACTCTCCAGCCCCAATCCGCTGACAGGAAACCTTTCACTGGAAACTTGCTTGCATTCAGTGCAAAATGTCTCACTTCTGTTAGCAATTTGTTCCCCATCACAAGCATTCCTGGGAGCAGTGTGGCGGGGCAGGAGAAGGGCAGGGGGGCTGCGTGGCTGCTTCCCCCCCGTGACCTGCTTAATACCACAGAGGAGCAGACAGCGGCCCTTTCACCACCTCCTGTTATCCTCTGTGTCCCTCATTCCGCCTTTCACCACTTCCCCCTTCGTTTCTCTCCTCTCTCCTCCCTTTTGCCAGCCTCCCTGTTCCCCTTCTCCGCTTCTCTTCTTTCATCCCTTTCTTTTCCATTGCTCTTAGCATGTTTGATCCTTGGTGCTCTCTCCCCTTGTCTCCAGGCCTCCCAAACTCATCACACGTATGGCCCACCACCCTCTTGGCCATGGCAGAGCTCAACACTTTTCTCCTTGTGCTTGGTCTGAGCCTCCAAAATGTTTTTCATGACCAGTCTTCCCCCAGCACTCTCTGGACAGAAGCCTCCCTCTCTCCCTCATCCCTTCCCCCTCCTCTTTTTCTCCCTCACATAATATTTTCCATATGAAGAAGCCTTCCTGAAGCCGCACACTGCCCTCTTGGCGAGTCTTAGGCGGGTTAGAGGAGACCCTGGGAGCCTTTAATCCTCTCTCTCTCGCTTGCTTGCTTTCATCCTCAGCCACAGCTGGACGCCCCATTGATGTGGAACAGACCAAACACCAGGCTCCCCCTCCTCTTTTTCTCCCTCACATAATATTTTCCATATGAAGAAGCCTTCCTGAAGCCGCACACTGCCCTCTTGGCGAGTCTTAGGCGGGTTAGAGGAGACCCTGGGAGCCTTTAATCCTCTCTCTCTCGCTTGCTTGCTTTCATCCTCAGCCACAGCTGGACGCCCCATTGATGTGGAACAGACCAAACACCAGGCCTCTCGCTAAGCTGCTGCTGTGGGGCCTCTTCTCCTTCAGAGCGAGCCGAGCCTGCAGCCCATGTCCTGCTCGCAGAGTGCCTGTCCCGTGGGCCCCGCAGCCCCTGCAAGCACACAGCCAGCACCTCCTGCCCCCCTTCTCTACAGCTACTGCTTCCCCAGCCATCTGCTGCCACCTCCTCCTAAAAGCAGCCCTCACCTTCTCCCTTCTCCCAGCGCTCCCCTTTCTCAGGCTGATTGCGCATCAATTCCCCACTGCCCCGCATCCCTGCAGAGCACCAGGCTGGGATGAGGATGAAGGACTGGTTCGTGTTGCTTGTGCTGAAGAAGCAACTGGTGCAATGCTGCCAGGAAGGGCCAGGCAGGCTCCACCAGCTGACAGAGAAGGTGTTAAGACTGTAGCCTGCTCACCGCTTTGAGACAAGAGTCTTTGGCCGGCTGTAGAAGGTCCCTCTCAGGGCGCACTGCAGGGTGAGGTGGTGATATCCAGCTTCTCTGAAAGCTCTGCAGTGTGCACAAGACGGGCGCACACGGGCACCTGCCTCCCAGAGCCAGGGGAGGCAGAGGAGGGACGGACAAGCCGCAGTGCCCAGGCACCCGCGGGAACACATCAACCGCCGTGCCCCGGTGCCGGAGGGACGGACAAACCACCGTGCCCGGTCCCGGCGCCATTCCCGGTCCTCGCCCGCCCCCTAGCGGCCTGGCATCCCCACCGGAGCGTCTGGAATCCTGCGGGTTTCACGGCAATGGGAGTGAATCAACGGGAAGCAAGAATTTCTGCGGAAGGCAAGAGAGGAGCGTGTGGCTTTATCCTTGATTGGGTGAAGAGCTCAAATGAAACTTCAGGGGGACTCCAGGAAGACGGGCAGAAGAGGTGGGTAGATAAGAGAGTGCAGAGAAAGGGAAAAAAAATGATCCAAGCTGCCAGAAACAGCCTGGGAGGGAAAACTGAAAGACTTGGGGGTGGTTAGTCTAGAGTAGAAAGGCTGGGGGGAGGCACGGCAGGCGTCACTGCATACAAGGCAACGCAAGGGAATGATCTGTGCTCCGAGTTCCCAGTGGTACAAAGGGAGCGGGGCATTTAGATACCAGGAGAGTCAGACGTTGCGAGACGCTTCAAGCAAGCACTGGAACAGGTCACCAGGAGGATGCTGCAACTTAAACGAGTTAAACCGAGATCTTTAGAAATCCCATTGAAAGAGCTGATCCTACTGAGTGTCCCTGGGCTGGAGTAAGTGACCTCCTGAGATAACGCTCGTCTTATTTGCTGTGATACTATAATTAAAAGCCATATTGATCCTCTGTCAAGAGATGCAGCAAAAAGACCAACTTCATTCCTTCCTTGCTGCTCCTTAGTGACCACCACGCTGGGTCCGACAGGCATCTCTTCATGACCCATCCTGGCACACAGTGCTCCTCTCCTCAAAGACAGGACACAGCAAACATGGATGCTGTGGGAAGGGGGTAGGTGTTGCAATGGGCACAGTTCTTGGCTGGGTTTGTAGCAACCACTTGCAGCAACTGAGCTAATTGCAGACTCCTGGGGTTTGCTGTAGGAGAACAAGTGCATCCCCCCTTCTTGTTACTGAGCATCAAGTGCCTGATGAGAGAGGGATTTGGGGACAAGACAATGCAAAGTTATCTAGCACAAAATGATTAGCCAGAATGTATTGTTAATAAGCTGCTTATCCATATAACTGGAAATGATTTGCAGCCAGGGTGTCAGTACAGGCTCCTGCACTGCTCTGCTGGAGCGCGGCAGGTAGGTCCTGGCCCAGGGGAGACCCTGCAAGTGGCAGCGGAGGCGTCTGCTGCTGTTCTGCCTCTCCACTGTCACTGCCTGAAGGGCACAGAAGGGCACAGGGATTTCAAAGGGAAGCAGAAGGGAATCTGCCAAGCCCCACTGACGAGGGGCATGTTTCCCAGGATGGCAAGCACAAGGTGTCAGGGGAGCAAAGCAGAAGGATGGGTCTTCTCCAGTGTCCTTACAGCAGCTGGAACAAGAGTGGGAGCTGACTGTTAAGATGCAGAATCACGGATCCTGAGGCATGGCAGACTAAGTGCACAGAGCACTGTACCTTTGATGCAGCACAAGAAGCAACTCTGAAGGGAAGGATCCCTCTGAAAGCCACTCTCAAAGAAAAGGAGAGTCTCTGGGAGGCAGCAAAGAAGCAAATGTACATGAAAGAGTTGCTAATAATTTTGGAACTGAGCTCATCCAAATGACAGCAGTGTAATACTGTTTCAGCAGCCCCCAGAATGACTAGCAGAGCTTTACTATCACACACGACTGACACAGGCTTCTGTTTCCTTACCAAACCTTTTATATCCTCAGTCTTTTGAAGCCTTCACAGAGCCAGCTCAGGCCTGTTAACTATTCCATAGAGAGAATATAATTCCATATATATTTGTGCTCACCGTATCTCTAGACACAAAGCTTGAATAGGTATGAAAAGATCTGTCCCTGAGCACAGCACTAAGCTGTAACCAAAGCTGGAGAATCTCTTCATCTTTTGACAACCACAGTTTCCTGCCTGATCCCTCCACACACTGACCCACCAGCCATCACAAGCACTGGTACAGCAGAGCCAGCACCAAGTCACACAGCACCATGGCTTCAGTTTGTAAGGGACTGTTTCTGCCTCCTGCTCCATGTAGGACAGACTGAAACCAAGAGTGCCCCAACCCCACAACACAACAGCATCTACACCAGGTCTTCACAAACAACAATCTTTAGTTGACGAAAACTATACTTTAGTGCAAATCTGTGGTTTTTAAGCCCCCCAAAAGGAGCAGCTTTGAATGGATTATTTCAATATTGGCATTGTACTTAAAATCACTCAGTCATGCCTGTGGAGACATCACTGCGTAATGTGCAAAACCAGGTGGTTCTGGTTTGGTTTCTGCAGCTGGATGCTTTGGGGTAGGCACCCCAAGGGCTCTGACATGGCGCAAGTCGCAAGGGGGCTGCCCGGGTTGTCAGAGATTTGGGACCCCAAACAGCCCAGCCCATGGGAGGGTTCATGCAGACACAGCCCTGGACTCAGTGCCACCCTGGCTTTGAGGAGGCTTTCCAGGAGGAGACTGGGCCGAGGACACCTTGGTAGCCCAGAGAGAAGGGCTACGCCACAGCTCCATCCCCCATGGCTCAGGACAGCCAGAGGAGAGCCCCGGTGCTGCTGCCCTGAGGGCAGAATGTGAACATGGCCGGGAGAAAGCAGCAAAGAGCCTTTGCCCTCAGGATGGGCCGGGCTCTGCTCTCAGCCACTTCCGCAAAGGCACCCTCAAATTTTCTTAATATCAGCCTTACTGTGAAATGTGGTGAAGGATTTCCGTGGGAAAGCAAGGGCTCACGCACTTCCTCCAGCAGCGCCACTGTGGTGCAGGAGGGCTCACAAGACACACGCTTTTGAACAGGACACGCTGGGCAGCCCCCAGCAATGCCCCTTCCCTGGGCTTGAGGACAGCCATGGAGCTGAGAGCCCTCCTCCTGCTGCTGCTCTGCTTCCCAGGTAAGGAAGGGCTGGGCATACCTCAGGCTTCCCATGCACCCAAGGGGGGGACACCCTTCCCCGCCTCCCGCTGCCTGGGGAGCTCCACACCAGAGTCCAACACTGGCCAGACCCTGAGCTGAGCAACTCACAGCAGGGATGGGGAGGGAAGGGGCAGCCCCAGTTCCCACTGTTGTTCCATTTAGCCTTGAAGGTTCAACACCTCCAGCACCTGCAAGTCTGTGCTTTTAAATCAATGATACTGGATTTTAAATGACAGTGGTGATCCCAGCTCAAATTTCAGCTCTGCCCACCAGAAATCACCTTCTGGTCTCCAAGCAGGTGAATTTAGCCAGGAACAATTTTGGTTTTCAGAGTTCCTCCAGCCACTAGTAGCCATGGGGGAAGGCGGCAGTCAGAGTTTCCCCAGGTCTGTTGGGAGGCAGCAGGCAGCTGCCCGCTCCCTCACCACATCTGATACTTATAGGTCTTCAGGTCCAGATACATGGCACTGAGGAGATGCGCTCAGAAGGCAGCAATCTGTACATCCAGTGTCCTTACACAGCACTGACTTCCCACCAGCAGCAGAAAGCCTGGTGCCGCCTGCGAAATGGACAGTGTGAGCCCTTAGTGGAGATAAAAGAATACTCACACTCAAACTGGGTCACAAAAGGGAGAGTTGCATTAAAGGACAACCCCATACAGAGGACTGTGTCTGTCACCATGACTAACCTCCAGGCAGAGGACTCAGGCACGTACTTCTGTGCTTACTACCATTACGGGTATCATTCACTAAAGATGATCTCGCTGATTGTTTTCAAGGGTGAGTACCTTTCTCCCCACACAAGATCAAGCCATGTCAGAAAGCAACATCATTCCTTCCCTCCATCCCCACAGCTGAGCACCTTCCCTTGACCCCCACATTCTCTTCTCTCCCTCCCAGCCTTGCTCACTGCTTTCCTCACTCATGCAGGCAGGAGTGTGAAGAAGCCCCCCAGACCCTGCAAGCTCTCAGCTCTCTTGTCCTCCCTACCTCACCCCCTCCCAGAAGGACAGCTGTCCTTGAGGGAGTTGCCCCAAGGCAGAGTTTGTTCCAGGGACCCACTGCTAATGGCTGTGACTACATCTGCTGTTTCGCAGAGCTGCACAAGTGGGAGTTGGACAGTGTGTCTGTGCAGTGCCTGCCCAGCACCCTGGGCTACAGTATGGGGACAAAAGTCTGGTGTCGAAGAGAAGATGAGACTTTGTGTAGGTTCATTGCAAGAACAGATTACCCTTCAACACAGCTTAACAGCCAAGCTCTGGAAGACCGAACACTGATCCAGGATGACACCCAGAAAAGGACTGTCACAATCACCATGCAGAAGCTGCAGGCTGAGGACTCGGGCATGTACTGGTGTGCACTCTACAAGTGGTCTTATCCCACCTGGCTCATGGAGGTCAGGCTCTCCGTGTCCAAGAGTGAGTACCTACTGGCAGCCAAGTGTGGATGTCTGCAGATTTCAGCCCCAGTTCCCCTGTTTGTTCTCCCTCCCATCCTGTGCCACAGCATTGGAGTCCAGCGCTGCCGCCACACAGCTCACACCCATCGCTGTGTCTCTGGCAGACACACTGGCAGCTGCCCCTGGGGCCTGTGGAGCCAAGGCCCAGGCCTGGCCCTTCGTGCTCTGTCTGCTCCCAGCAGAGACCCAGGGGAGGTTCCCGTGAGCTCCCACAAATGGTGCCACGCTTCACAACTGCTTCTCACGGGGCCGATCCAGCGGCTCCAGAAGCAGCTTCTCCAGCTCAGCACTGGGTTTGTCCATGCTGGGCACTGCTGGAAACCTCTCCCACTGCCAGGCGTTGCTCTTGATCTGGCCCCACAATTGCCAGCCCTCTTTGCCTCCCAGGCTCTATGGGCTGAGCGCCCATGAGCATGCAGTCCCTGGGGGAACCAGAGGAAGGGGGCACTCATTTGTGACTCACCTCTGCACAAGTAGTGTTGGTCCAGCCCCCTTCTGCTCCTTGTGTCTGGAGGTAAAAGGAGATCTAGGAAGCACTCAGCCCACAGCAGTATTCCAGTGATGGTACTGTGCCTGCTTTGGGGTCTCACCAAACATGCCGGGTGTTTTCCAGGGACCCAACAATACAGAGCCAAGGAGTCAGGCGATGTCTCTGTCCAGTGTCCATACAGTGTGCCAGACTACAGGGCTGTGAGCAAAGCCTGGTGCAAAGAGGGAGCAGGGAAAGCATGTACTGTGCTGGTCACCACCAACAACTTGAAGCCCTCGGAGTACCACGGGACACCTCAGCACGACAGAGTCAGGATCCAGGATGACATGGAGCAGGGGATTGTCACTGTCACCATGGAGAGGCTGCAGGCGCAGGACTCCGGGGTGTACTGGTGTGCGCTGTATGAACACACTCATCTCTTCCGAATGCTGGAGGTCACGCTCAATGTTTCTGAGGGTGAGTACTGACCTGCAGGGAAACACGGTTGGTTGGAGATTCCAAACTCACTTTCCTGCCCTTTCCCTCTGGTCTCTGAACTGCCCACCTCACACCACCTCCCACATGATGGAGAGTGTGTCTGCCTGCTCAAGCCATGCATCACGGTACCTTCTCATCCCAGCCCTGCTATGGAATAGCATCAGGGATCAGAACTGGAGCAAATGTGTGTGCTGTGTTGCTTCACTTCCACCTGAGAGCAGCTTCAGTCATCCTCACAGAGGTGTTTCTGTCACTCATTGCCCCTTAACAGCAACTTGTCCCTTGGCTTTCAAAGACTATTAAGATTTTCACATTTGGTTGCCAAGGGGACAACCTTTACACCCGTATTTTAAAGACTTCTGACTTCTAGGTTTTATTTCAGCATGATGTTTTAACAATATGTGCTAACACTTAAGCACCTGGTTGTGGCAGGCCATGCTGCAGCCTGCCTTTCAGGCATGTGGCAGAGCAGCACTGCAGAGATATGGCAATCCAGAAGATGAGAGGGGATGGCATCATTCTCTAGGTGAAAATCCTACCAGGATTCCTAGGACTGAGTGCAGTCTCTGAGCAAGCAGGCTCCTGCAGGCACAACCTCCCCTGGGCATGGAACAGGCCTGGAGGCAATTCTTACAACTCGGTCTTGCACAGCCAATGCCCTTTGCTTAGTTCTCAGAAGTCTCTGTCTGCTTAAGCTGAGTTGTTAATTTGGTCATTGCTACCTCAAGATCTTGGCCATAGAACAGATGTGCTCGCACCGAGAGCACGTCCATCTGCCATGCACAGGGCTCCTGCTGAGCTCCTGCCCCTCCCTCCCATGTTCTGATCCTTCTGGTCCCTTGCCTGCTGCCAGGATGTGCCATGATGACACGTTACAGCCCGGGCAGCTTCTCTGTGCTGGGTGTTGCAGCGGGAATGCATTTATATCCATAGTAGGAATGGCAGGGAAGTATAGCTGGTAAATGCAAAGCAACCCAGTAGTGATTATTCTCCTCTTCACCTTGTGATTGCAGTGTTGGCTGGAACAACCTTGTCAGGTCCTGTAGGCACAAGTCAAGCAACTCCTTCTGGCAACAGCCCAGCCCCGAGGTAAGGCCTACAGAAAGTCTCTGAGCTTGACCACAGACAAGAGTTACCAGTGTCTCCTCCACAATACATGTGTCTACCTGGGGCAGGCAGCCTCTGGGCATCTTGCTCCCAGAGGAATTACACACCACAGTCCTTACCAAAGATGGTATCTCCTCTTCCAGTCCTGCCCAGAGTGTAATTACAAAGGAAGAAGCAGACTGGTAAAATCAAGAGACAGCTTTCTGGAATGTAGATGCCTGTTTACTTTTTTATCCCAGCTCTTTGGGCTGTGCTCTTTGCAGCCATAGAAACCCCCAGGTTCTGTCCCTAAGCCTTTCTGTCTCAACTTTGCTCACTCCTGGCCATGAATATTTAACAATGAAATAGTCCTTGGCTGCTGTTGTAGCCTTCTATTTACCAGGCTGTTACAGAGAAAGGATTTTCTTCCCCTTTGGACATCTGCTGTCATTAACACTACAGCAGCACCTAAGAGTACAACCATACATCAGCTCAGGTGCAGCAAAACACAGTGGGGAAAGGCAGTACCTGCTCCAGAGAGCTGAGAGCGTGCTCTGAACATTGAACAGTGCCTTGTTCTTAAAGCCTGGAGAATAGTTTAGGGAAAGCTCAGCAGGCACAGCCAGAGAGAAACCAAGAGAGCATTGCTGCAGGAGAACCAGGCCCTTCTTTCAAGTGCATAAAACCTTGGGCATAAAAGCTATTCCTGTCCATTTTTTGGTCATTGCTTGGTAATGGGCTGCACCAGCATCACACTGTGCTACCATGTAACACTGGTAACTCCTTTGCTCTCCTGGCTGCAGCTCAAATGTAAACACCTTCATCCTGCTTGCTGGGGTCATGAGCATCCTGTTCCTTCTGGCACTCATCAGCTCGGTAACACTGTACGTGAGGCGCTGCAAGCAGCTGAAGAGAGCAGGTATGTGGAATCTGGTGATGCCTCGTGTTCTAGTCTGGACTAGGCAGGGCCTTTCCAGGCCATCCCTCTTCCACGCCAGGCGAGCTTTTTCCCAACTCACAGTGCCCTGGAGAAGATAAGGCAGCTGAAGCCTGGGAAGCCTCAAGGCAGGCTCCTTGCTGTGATCTCCTCTGACAATAAGACAAACCCATGTTCCTCCAGACTCTGCACATGACACTTCCTAACATGACAGAGGAGAAGTCAAGTGGGAGCAATGTGTTCACCAGATTCAGGGTAGATGGTTCCCATGGGCACCCCCATTGCTTCTATCACTGGGCAATCCCACAGCCTTCCCCCAAACTCCTGAAGCACAGGCAATGCTCAGGCATTTCATGGACATCTCTCCTAAAATGTCTGATTTTAGCTCATTCCAAAGGGAACAGAGAAGAAGAGGACACCTACGAGAAACCAGGGGACACAGCACAGGTGAGGAAAACAACAGATTTTCCCCGTGGTACCAAATCCCTTACCAATGGTCTGTGATAACAGCTGAATCAGGCTAACAAGTGTTTTCCCTTTCTTTTCATAGCCTGACAGCTATGAACAACTGGAAAGTCCCAAGGATGACAGCAAAGACCTAAAATATGTTACCCTGAACTTTCAATCCCGGCTCAGCCCTGAGGATCCTCTCTACTGTAATGTTGAACTAAGTGAGGCTCACAGGAAACCCAAGGATGAAAACGTGGAATATGCTATCATTGCATTCAAGCAGTTACCAACAAATGACAAGGGTTGAGGCACAGAATCCCGAAACAACCCAGAAATGGGAGAAAAGAACTGGAATACAAAGTGGGAATGGGGAGTAGAAGGTGTGTGGATGGACACTGGGGGAAGATCTAAGGTTTTGCTGCCATGTGTATGTTGCTTATGCATTTTAAGACCTCCCTCCTATTAGGGAGAAGAGACTGAACCCCCTTCGCTACAACCTCCTTTCAGGGAGTTGTAGAGAGCAAGAAGATCTCCCCTGAGCCTCCTTTCTGCAGCTTAACACCCCCAGTTCCCTCAGCTGCTCCTCATAGGCCGGGTTCTGCAGAGCTATCACCACAGAGAACAAGCTCACGGGGCTTTTGTGCAGCTTCATGGGCCTTGGAAAGTGATGCCATTTACTTCCCTCTCTCTGCTGGAAATCCTCCAAATGACACATTTGCTGCCTTGAGTTTGCAGTCATGTGGTGAGCAATATGCAATGAGTTTGTTGGGGCTCAGCTCCATTTCTCCAAAAAGACCAGAAACTCTGGCACTTGATTTAGCAGCACCCAGCTCTGCAGGAGCCTGAACCCACTCCTCTTCACAAGCCACTCACATCCAAAAAGGCTTCTCTTGCTGTGGCTGCAGCAGGGAAGCTGATGTATTTCTTGAAATTTTCAGAGTTGACATGTTTAACTTGAAATGACAGCAAGAGAAAGAAAATGGTTCTGGAAATAGTTTCTTCAGCCCAAGATTCCCTGAACTATTTGCTATTCATGCAGTCAGTTACACTGGGCTGAACAGTGGAAGAGTAAGAGTAGGAAACAACTGAATGGAAGAGAGCCATTTTCAGGAAGACAGTTGCTTCTGATCAAAGAGAACCCAAATTTGTGCTCACTGGAACAAGAATGAACAAGATGTGCAAGCAGGCAGCCTCAGGAAGACTGTACACTGGGAGGAAACTGTAATTTAGAGGAAAGAAGAAGAAGGTACTTCTGAACGGAGAGACATGTGGGTTATCTGCCTGTGAAACAGATAAGCACACCCACTACCAAGGGTCTACTTGTACTCCCATTTACTCCAAGTACGTAAGTTCAAAACAGAGAAACCAGCACCAACCACAGCCTACCAGTGTGCTGCCATCCTGAGCACTGACTGGCTCTGAGTCAGTGCCCCCATGCCATGATCTTCTGTGCTTGCTGCTCCATATTAAATAAAGATGTCTGGTTTGCTCATGTGAAGCACCTCACAGCTTCACCGAACACCGTGTTCTTGTCTTCTTGCCTCTGGTTAGATGTCAAACAGGAATGCTTCATGTGCAGGCTCCTCTAAACCTTCTTTCTCCTGAAAACAACCCACATGTTGATGTCCTTGCCCTACTCTCAGCCTCATGATGCCGACTCAGCTACCTGCAGAGCCTCCCTGGGACTCACCCCTTTTCCTTTTGGCTTTGCAGGAATTCCCTCCATGAAAAGTCTGCTCTGGTGGATGGGCTCCAGGGCTGGGCTGGGAGGGGCTCCCAACACCATGTTTTCAGGCCATCACATGATGCTCCCTCTCAGGCTGTCTAGACTAAACTGTGGGTGTGCATGGGCAGTGCTGATGCCTGAATTTGTAGCTCACGAGTGTAATGTCCATCCCTGGTGAATTGCTCAATATGCAGGACAAAAAAGATGCCAAGTTCCTGTGCTCATTCCTTCCGGCAGAGCAAGGAGGGGGCAAAGCAGGCTGCTCTTGGGCAAGAGCTCTTTTCACTTTTCTCCAGACTCCTCTCTTGTCTCCTCTCATCAGCTGACATGGAGAAGCTTGTGCACCTCATCTTGGTCTTCTTGTCAGGTAAGGAAGCATACATGACCTTGGGTTTCAGTTAACAGGTAGGGTGAAGGACAGTGCAGAGCTTGGTCTAGGGTACCTTTAGTAGGGTGAAGACTTTGCCTGCCTGCCTGAGCACTGCAGGGTCCAGGGCAATGCAAGCAGAGGGAGCCTGGAGCACTGCAGTGTGTTCTACACCCTATTCCTCCTCCCCACTTGGAGTGCAGGGACATCAGACTCCTTCCTTAGAGTTTGTGCTTTTCCCTTTATTTACCAAAGGGTGATCCAAGTGCTCAGCTTTTCTCACAGGGATCCTTTTGGGTCAGACAGGAAGCGGTGCTGACAGAAGCCCTGGGTGAAATTGCAAAATCCTGTTCATTTCCATTTGTAGGGCTTGGGATGTAAATTGCAGCAGGCAGGGTTTGAGAGGAGGCAAAGAAATCTCAGTGAAGGGCATTTGGACACTTGACTATGGTCAGCTTGGGAAGCAATGTTCATCTGAAAGAGAAACAAGGCACAGGACCCAGCTGGCAGCCCTCTGCCTCCAGCCCCACTTTGGAGATCCCAGGTACTTGCAGCAGTGCACACAGAGGCACTGGTAAAAGGTTGAGGCTTTGGGAACCCAGAAACCTGCCTTAAAAAGCTGACTGAGTTTGGGAAAGAAGCGCCCTATTGTTTTTTCAGTAGCGCAGAACAAGGGAAGAGGAACACAAATAGTAACTGATGTGTCTGCAAAAACATCACTGAAACGCTGATGACACAAAGTGTTCCACAGGGGCATCAACAAGTTTATAAATGCCATGATTTGGATCAAGAGATTTTTTGCAGTGCTCTTTCTATTTACAACAAAACCAAAACCCCCTAGCCCTGGGGCCACTCCCAGAACTGGAGGGGCAGAACTGAAGGCAAAGAGGGGGTCACAAGAGGCATAGGAGAGGGAGTTAAGGTGCTGTGAGGGATTGCACAAGACAGGAGTGGACATGAGGGGGGTAAGCCTCAGCTGGAATAACTGAGAGGGGCAACAGATCAGGATAAAGACTTGTGTGTGTGAGCCCAAATTCGTATTTTTGCCTTCTTGTCAAGTTGAAGGATTTGTTTAGCTTCCAATTCACTTAGAATCGTTAAAATTATTTAAAGAAGTGTTATTAGAAGGCTCAGCCAGCACAAAGTCCTGGTTTTTAATTTCCTTCCGTGTTACCGTCACTTCTGTTTCACAGAAAGCACCAACATCTGAATTTCTTTACTTGAGATACAGAGATTTCCACAAATACCACACTGCACTTCTCTCTGGAAGTACGAATAGCTCAGGCTGCCCCCTCTGCCTTTGCCTACCATCAAGAGGAATGGAGGTTAGGAATAAGGAACTAAGACCAAAAACAAAGCCAAGCAGCCACAGACCAGTTGTCAACATGATTAAAATGAGCAGGAAATTAAAAGATAGGGTGAAAAAAGTGCTAAACCCCTGGATTTAGAAGTGGGATTAAGAAGTAACCTTCTAAGCAGTTAGCTGGGCATGGGTTTGGAGGTGTCATGGTGATTTTAGCCTTTCCAGGGCTGCGTAAAGAGCCTTAAAATGGGGATAAACTTCATGGGCCTTTACTCCAAAGGAGCTTTTCTGCGGCAGAGGGTATTCCAGAGCCAGTTCTGCATCTGTGAATGTGTGGAAGTGCTCAAGGCCAAATCCTGAAGCAAGGCTGTTTGCTGCAGCTGGACATGGCAAAGCAGGGATGGCACAGCCCAACAAAAGGCACACACGGACAGCTTGGCAACATCAGCTCGAGCTCTGGGTTCAGGAGCTACGGTGTTAAAAGAGCTTTTAAAAAGCCAGACAACTTGGGTGGTGCCAGCTCAGTCTACCTGAGTGCCCAGTTTCATGCCCCTCCTTCTCTCCTAGCAGCCTGTGCAGCAGAGAACATCACGGTGGTGTATGGAATGGAGGGGGACACCATTTCTGTCAACTGCACCTATAACCCCTGGCAGCAGCGATGGAGAGAAAAGAGTTGGTGCAGGCAGATCCATGAGACCAAGTGCCAACACGTGGTGAGCGCCCGACGCTTCTGGCTGCCGTTCCTAAAGAACAGGAATGGCACCACCTCCATCAGCGACAACGTCCGCGAAGGGGTCCTCACAGTCACCATAAAGGGACTCAAGAAGCAGGATGCTGGGTTGTACCAGTGCAAAAGTGACTACCTGGGGGAAACAAACAGTTTAAGGAAGGTGCAAGTGGAAGTGCTGACAGGTATGTCCTGGGGCTCTGAGTTCACAAGTTCTGCAGATGCCAAGGCCTCACTTCAGTAAACATCTACTTGTGTCTTACTCTAAGAAGGAACTGTTTCGTTGCCTCTTTTTAGTTCCTCATTTAAAGTAACATGACCTCACTTTTACAGGCTATCTAATATGTCATCCCTTCACTGCTAGCCAGATTAACCTTCTAGCAGCCAGCCCAGTGGCCAGTCTCCCCTTGGTTACCTGTCCCTTGCAGGGGTACTGGTGTTGGTAACACCAATGAGCATCACCCACAAACATCTGCAGACTAAACTGTTCTGTTTCTATCATCAGCTGTCCTGGAGACACAAATGCCAGAGGAACCCAGGGCTGTGCAGAGCATCTCCAGGTAAGCCATACAACTCCTCATGCTGAGATCACTAGTATTCCTAGAACTAAGGCAGATTAGCATTGGCAACCCCATTTGAAGGTGACAGGAATAGCACTACAGGCATAGTTTCTACCTCTTACTAATCCATGACAATTCCTAGAGCTGCTGTGTGGTTTCGAAGCAGCAGTTTTATCCTAATTCAGCAAATGCAGTGCTTAAGTGCCAAGCAAAACAAATCCTGCAGATCATAATTTATCTGTATGAGAGATAACCTGTTATCTGTATGTGAGATACCCAGGCTCTGTTGTGCACAGGCAGGGACTGCCTGTTGCACGTTACCTTCTTCACATTGTGTACTATAAGAGTTTCTTTAAGGCTGTCTTTAACAGTTGAACCATCCCCTTCACTGTTGTATTTGTGGTTCCCCATAGCATCCCTCCTGAAGCTGATTTCACTGTCTTCTATATCCTTGCTGGATTACTGGTTACTAAGTTCGTGGTGGCTGTGCTGATCTTTATCATTGGCAACAGCAGGAAGAGCAGAGAAACAGAGCGGAAGAACCCACGGCTGAGTGAGCAGCAGGTCCTCCCTGTCGCTGGTGGTGGAATCAGCCCCTCCTGGGAGAGCACTGCTTAGAGCCAC